CAAGTAATGCAATTAAAAACATTATTTATCATTCATATTTATACATTATTTTTTTTTTTTTACTTACTGAATAGGTTCTAAGTAATTCTGTAGCTGACGGTTTATTATTTTACAAAAGTTATAATGTCAATAACTTAAATGATTGTGAACCAACAGCTGCATTTTGTAGAAAAATTAATGACTGTTTTGACGCTCTGAATCGAAAAATGGTATAGAAGGGCTTAGAATTAATGGCAAAGACTATCAGGTATAACACAAATGACAAATTTAATACTTAATAATAAATTATTCATTACCCATGTTTTTGTTTGTTTATGTAATGGATATAATACAGTTTCTTCATTCCTTTTTGACGTGGTTAAATGACTGGGAAAAAGAATATATTGATGGAAAAATAAAAAAATCTGAATTTTTAACCAGTAGCACAGCTTGTGGTTTGAGAGTTACAATCCAATCAACACTTGATCTCTCAAATTATTTGAATAATTCCTGGAATTTTAAATATTTATTAACAGGGAAAATAAATCAAGATAAACTTGAAGTAAAGAAAGAAAACAATTTCACAACACACATTATTTTAGTATTTATTAAAATCTAAACAAATGTTTTAGCTATTTTTTGGAACAATTCGTCAGGCTGCAGGATCTAACGATCATCCCTCCACGCCTACTTTTTTACAGCTGTATAAATTATTATCAATGTACAGTATTTTAAAGCCGCCCAAAAGTGGAAACTGCACAGTGAATGATGATGCTCCGTTGACTCCAGTTATTTCAATTACTGATTTGAAAGAAATTTATAATCCACAAAAGTCAAATTTAGTAGAAAATTTAAAAGAAAAAATGAATAAAATAATTGAAGAGAAAGATTGGGAATTTGATGAAGTTGTTGAACACAATTATGCAAAGGCTGAAGTGATAGACTGTCTAATATATTATTTAACTGGTAACAAAATATTATTAAGAATTTACCATAAATTATTATATAAAATTTTATTAAATACCTATTAAAAATCAATTAATTTCTTTTATAGGATATCTATCCAAACAAATGTTGAAATACATTGGTGATTGCAATACTTGTAAGTCAGCGTTTGTAACACCTCAAGTTTATTCTGAACAAATGTGTGCTGCCTTAGTTAACATGAATACCAAGGGACGATTGATACACCCAAATATATTCTTTTTCGATTTCATCAAAAAAATTGAAAATAGTTTTATTAAGCATTCTTCATCCACGCACGTATACGAACTCATTATCACAGATTTGATGTCTGAAAATACAATTAATTTCCCATGTTCAAGTCATGGGGGGGATGTAATTTCATTTACTGTAATGTATTACATTAGAATGAGAATGAGACAATTTTCACAACAAGAAAATAAGAAAAAAAAGAAAGATAATAGAAATAAAAAAAATAAAAAAAAAATTGCCAAATTCTCAAAAACTTAAAATATACCTATATTAAAAATAAATATTTTTCAAATACAAAACTTGTTACACACTCTTTGGATGAATATTTTGATAATTCACTTAGGAAAAAATTTAATAACTATTGAATTTGAATAATTTAAAATAATATGTAAACTGTGAATATCATAGATCTTATGACTTACCTATAGTATAGACACTTCCATAGACAGATCTATTTTAGCAATGGTTCATGGTTGTACTGTTGTAAGGCGGAATATGAATTCGCGAATTAAAATTTATTGAGACTTCAGTATTTATTTTCATTTTTCGCGGACTATTGGACTATCCTATATATCAAATATAATACTTTGGTACACGGCCTTAGAAAATATCTTATCTTATCTTAGATATCTCATCTTCTAAGACCGTGCTTTGGTACATGGTTATTTTAAACTAGTAAAATGACATAACCTCAAAAGCAGCGCTTAATTGTACAGCGGCAAAATTTGGAAATGGATTTGCCTCACTAAGCGGAATGCTGATAATGTATAGTTGTCCGACCTTATCTTCTAAGACCGTGGTTTTACTAGTACACACTACACGTGAACACTGATACCATAATCACATAATTGACCACACCGTTGAAATTCACGGTATCGACCAGTATACACCAGACAGTGTACACCAGTGTGTACTAGTGCAGTCAGATTTTGAGGTTAAGTTATAATAATTATCAATAATAAGCATGGACTACGGACTAAAATAGTATGGACCACGGCTTTAGATAGAATGGTTGCACAACGAGTCATTATTTTGTGATCACCAATTGTTCTTATCAGATATCTGTTAAAAGTTACGTTACACCGCTATCTAGTTGCTTACATATACATCATCAAAATTGTAATCTTATTTTATATTGTTGTATTCAAAAAGTACTAATTAGTATAATCCGATAATCCATTAGAGGTTCAAACTCATCAAATTATTAAATTAAAAATACAAAGAATAGGCTATCCACTAGGTATGTCAACATTTTTAATTACAAATATCAAACTATTAAAATTAAGTGTGAATTAACAAAAAACATCAACAAAATAACTGCTATGAAGATCCATCAATGTTATGCATGGTCACTTCACAATACACAATAACCCCGTCTCAAATTTTTTTTTAAATCCACATAATTTGTGCGTAGTGCCTATTGTTAAAATTAATATTTTTTATTCTAAATATAGGTATATATATATACTGTAATATTATACTTTTTTGGATTTTACTGGTATAGTTATAATATTCCAAATTCTCTAACAAGCAAAAAGAAAAACATATTAAATTAATATAATATAAATTCAAGACTAAATAAATTTTTTTGTTTAATTTATTTCTTAATCCATAAGTATTAACACTTAATTTTAAAAAGGTTAATTTAAGTAGTAACTAATTTTGACAATTTTTTTTTTTGAACGATTTAATTTTTTACACTCAATATTTTTAGAGTAGCTATGCTGCCTCATCCGCATAGTTATGATTAAAATAAAAATATTAGAGCCGTCTATCTAAAGCCGTGGTTCCAATTAACAACCACCGGGAGCGTTAGTAGTAGTTCACTTTTTCGTATGTTAGATAAGAACTCTCGTACACCGCGTTCTAACATTGCGTAGTATAGCCCGATGTGCAACCATTCTATCTAAAGCCGTGGTATGGACTGGAAACGAACGCCAAATCACAGGACCGCTTAAGGTTAGGAGTAGGCTTGTGCGGGGTGAAATGGGGCAAGTACGATTCGCACTCTATCTATGTTTATAAAAGAGAACCATAAATGTCTACTTTTTGAATTTTCCCTCCAATGTATATTATTGTAATTATTATTTATTTACGAGTTTATTATTCATCACAATATTTGACTTGGTATTAGTACATAGTAGTACAGTACTATCTTAGTCCGTGATTACTGATTTTGTTTAATTATTGCATACCTTTTTACATCAAAATTTAATTTTTCTATTCATACTTTAAAAGTTGCAAAATGGCACCAAGACGTAAAGTACGTAAATGTTCAATTAATGAATGTGAAAGTCGTGAAGATCAGACAAATGTTACATTATTCAAACTATACGAAAGTAACAAAGAAGCTTGGGAATCAGCAGTACATAATACAGTAAACAATCAATTACAACCATTAAACTACATTTGTTCTGAACACTTTGCACCTGATGATGTCATTACTAACTATTCACAAACACCATCTGATGTAGTTATGCCGGAGGTAAATTATAATATATAAGCACAATTAAAAATTGATCATTTGAAGAAAAGGTTAGATACATTAATTGCTCAAGATCTAGAAGTAGACAATGTATTTCAGGCTGATATTTTTAGTGATCATGACTACTATAAATCAGATACTGAATCATGTGTGTTATATTACATCTGTGGGTATGTCACACGATATATTAATAAACACATTAAGTGTAACAATTGTCAAATTGCAGTACAAGGTAAAACAAAGAAATTATAAGATTATTTAATTCCTTAACTAAAAATTATTATTTTAGGTAAAACATCATTTTGTGATATGGCTGAAGCAACTCTCACAAATATTAAAACTAGAGGAGGCTTAATTAATCCAAGCACATTTTTATTCAATTTGTTGACGAACGTAGAGGAATCATTTCAAAAATTTTGCAATGATTATGATGTTTTTCAACAGACAGTTGATGATTTTTTTAACAAAAAATTGAAACTTATCAACACTTTTCCATGTAGTATACATAAAATTGAAGTACTGACTTTTATAATATCATATTACGTAAAGATGAGGATGTGTCAATATACAAAAGTTTTAAACAATGATCAAAAGAAAAATAATGCAAAGAAAAAGAAGAATTCAAAACTTGTTAATACATAGATTAAAATATTAATCAAATTAGAGAATACAATCAGAAACAGAATTTTGAAATGGAGACTTAGGGAGTCTGGTTTAAACTAAATGCTTACTGTTTCGTCTGTATTTTTATAATTAAAATTTAAAGTAGGAAGTGTAATATTTTTTGGTTAATAAATAAATCGCGTATTTTTATTATGCATGTGCACTTATTACCCTACGTTTTAAAAATCCAGAATCTACTTTCCTTTAAAACCATTTTACGACATCAAAAAATTATTACATACATTTTAATATTAAATAATAGTAATAGTTCCGCGATAGCTGTCCTTCGGCACGCACGTGCGTACAGTGCGCTAGTCTTACCGCTCAACGTGTACTCGCTTATTATTTGGTCTTTTTTTTTCTTAAGCCGGTTAATTAAAGATGTGACTTAGTCTTAATGTACATATTTGCCCTTCTCTTTCAATAAAGTCTCGTGCACAATAACAAACGAAATTAATATTCATATGCAATATTGTCATAGTTGCAATATTGTCAGCGTTCTAGCGCATACGGTCTTATCGGCGACCGCCTCGGCGGTCTCGATATTATTATATAACAATCTAATTACGTTATCGCAACCCGCCGTCGTCTTCAATCGTACTTTTCGTGACTGCTATTTTATTTATTCAAAACTAATTAATAATTTATTCTAATCAAAATGTCTAACAGAAACAACAACAACATTAATAATAAAGGTATTAGTAAAATGAAGAACACCGTATCCCCGGTAACTTTCAGTAAAAATAAAACCCCCAACTCATCACTTGGTACAAGTAATAATCAACCAGATGTAGGATGGATCATAAAACAATCTAAAAGAAATCTCTCCAGTTCTACTAATTCTGAACCAAACTCTCCACGTGAGCAACTTTCCAATACAAAAAAAAAATATTCAAATCAGCAAATCAGCAAATCGTTATGAAGCTCTCGCTTCTAACGAAGTTCAAGATTCTAATCAGCTGAATAATCAATTCGACTTCTATCTCAATGATTCTACTGAAAATACTACCACCAACATGCAGACTGATTGTACAAATGATCCACAAATTAAACCTCCTCCCCCAATTTTCGTAAGAGGCGTCGAGGATTTTCCGGAGTTATGCACAATACTTATAGAACTAATCGGTGTTGATAACTTTGTCTTCAAATCATCTACAGACAGACTAAAAATTCAAACTAGCACTCCAGACGCATATAGGTCACTAATACGATATATAAAGGAAGAAAAAGCCGAATACCACACCTACCAACTTCAACAAGACAAACCTGTCCGAGTCGTAATTCGCAACTTGCACCCATCAACGCCAACTAGTCTTATAAAATCTGAATTAGAAATACTTCAATTTGAAGTGAGAAACATTAAAAATGTTCTACACAAAACAAATAAGCACCCATTGCCTCTTTTTTTTGTCGATCTGGAACCCAGCAGCCAATCAAAAGATATATACAAATTGACATCTCTTTTACACACAAAAATCAAAGTAGAGGAACCTTTCAAAGCCAAAACTATAAGCCAATGTTTAAATTGTCAAAACTACGGACACACCAAAACGTATTGCGGTTACCCACCACGGTGCGTTCGCTGCGGCGCATGCCACCCTTCATCCGCCTGTCCAAATCCACGTGATACTCCACCAACATGTGCACTCTGTCAAGGGAGCCATCCAGCCAGTTACAAAGGATGTGCAGTATACAAGGACCTCCAACGACGCAAGAAACCTTCCACTAGTAATCATTTCTTTTTATCAGATAATATTAGAGATAAGTCATCAGTTGTAAAAGATAATAACCCTACTAATGATACTAACCCAAACCACAACCCATCCTATGCTCAGGCCACAAACAAATAAAGGCTTTTAAAGCCAATTTGGACGTACGGCTTACAGCTATTGGGTAACGCAAAAATATCAAATCTAAATAAAATTCAACGATTCCAAAATAAAATACTAAGAAAAATTACCAACTCTCCACTATATGTCTCAAATCACTCACTGCATAAAGACCTACATATATGAAAACAGTTCAGGAAGAAGCTAAAAATTATTACAAACGATTCCACCTACGCCTTAACTCTCATCCAAACGAACTTGTAAAAAATCTGGCTTCATTAACCATTCCTGGTAATCCTCCTCGTCGCCTTAAGCGTAAATGGTGTAGAGACCTACTTAATCCCTAACAAAAAAAAAAAAAAAATATAATAATAATCAAGTTAAAACAAATAATTTAAAAAAACATAAGTGTCATCGGTGGGTGGCTTCTTAGCTCATAATTTCATGTTTTTTATTGTGTCTCAGCTCATACTCTTATTGTGCCGATTGTGTACAGATTGTGTATTACTAATAAATAAAAAAAAAAAAAGTTAAACAACCCAAATACTGGACAAACAACAGTTCTAACAGCTCTAAGATAATACATTAATAAAACATAAATACTCTAAAATAATCCTAAATATTATTAAAAAAATAAAATATAAAAATAATAATGAATTAATCAAACAATATCACAGCTTAGAAATATTAAATCCTTATAAAAAAAACAACATGTCAAAAAGAATACCTTTTTATAAGCCTACCAAATTTTCGGGAGCTATCAATGAAAGTGTAAATTTATTTATCGACAAATACAACAAGGCAAGTCGTATTAATGGCTGGTCTTCCGATCAAAAAGTATTATTTCTATTTATTTACCTACATGGCACAGCAGCAACATTTTTAGACAATTTTGAGAATAAAAATCCGACTACCATACATGGACAGATTTAGAAAATGCACTTCGATTAGAATTTGAGCCCATAGCAGAAAAATTTTTTTTTTTTTTAACTGCCTAAGGCATTTTTATTTAAACGACCATAAGTATTTATAAATATAATACATTGTGGGTGAATACAGTATAATAACAGTATTGCATAAGAAGTATTATACAATAATAATTACTTATATATACATATATATATATATTATACAAGAACATGTTTTGGGTTGTACCTCCACTGATATAGCCCCTTCTCTTAGCCTAAGTTAATTAAACTAAGTCCTATGACTTCACACGTTTGAGGCGCCTAATGTCTTGCGAATTGTGAAGAAGTTGTTTAGCAGTTGCATTTGGGAGCAACTCAAGTTTTTTCTTATGTTTATTGGCAAACTTTTTAATTTCGTCCTCGATGGATGGTATATTCAAGTCTCGATGGATGATTTCATTCCTGTCGAACCTGTATGCTGCGAGAATGGTACGAAGGGAAATATTCTGACAGCGTTGAATGACTTCGATGTTCGATTTGCTGGCACAGCCCCACAGTTGTATGCCATAAGTCCAGATCGGTTACTATCGGTTTACTGATAGTTACCGGGGATACGGTGTTCTTCATTTTACTAATACCTTTATTATTAATGTTGTTGTTGTTTCTGTTAGACATTTTGATTAGAATAAATTATTAATTAGTTTTGAATAAATAAAATAGCAGTCACGAAAAGTACGATTGAAGACGACGGCGGGTTGCGATAACGTAATTAGATTGTTATATAATAATATCGAGACCGCCGAGGCGGTCGCCGATAAGACCGTATGCGCTAGAACGCTGACAATATTGCAACTATGACAATATTGCATATGAATATTAATTTCGTTTGTTATTGTGCACGAGACTTTATTGAAAGAGAAGGGCAAATATGTACATTAAGACTAAGTCACATCTTTAATTAACCGGCTTAAGAAAAAAAAAGACCAAATAATAAGCGAGTACACGTTGAGCGGTAAGACTAGCGCACTGTACGCACGTGCGTGCCGAAGGACAGCTATCGCGGAACTATTACTATTATTTAATATTAAAATGTATGTAATAATTTTTTGATGTCGTAAAATGGTTTTAAAGGAAAGTAGATTCTGGATTTTTAAAACGTAGGGTAATAAGTGCACATGCATAATAAAAATACGCGATTTATTTATTAACCAAAAAATATTACACTTCCTACTTTAAATTTTAATTATAAAAATACAGACGAAACAGTAAGCATTTAGTTTAAACCAGACTCCCTAAGTCTCCATTTCAAAATTCTGTTTCTGATTGTATTCTCTAATTTGATTAATATTTTAATCTATGTATTAACAAGTTTTGAATTCTTCTTTTTCTTTGCATTATTTTTCTTTTGATCATTGTTTAAAACTTTTGTATATTGACACATCCTCATCTTTACGTAATATGATATTATAAAAGTCAGTACTTCAATTTTATGTATACTACATGGAAAAGTGTTGATAAGTTTCAATTTTTTGTTAAAAAAATCATCAACTGTCTGTTGAAAAACATCATAATCATTGCAAAATTTTTGAAATGATTCCTCTACGTTCGTCAACAAATTGAATAAAAATGTGCTTGGATTAATTAAGCCTCCTCTAGTTTTAATATTTGTGAGAGTTGCTTCAGCCATATCACAAAATGATGTTTTACCTAAAATAATAATTTTTAGTTAAGGAATTAAATAATCTTATAATTTCTTTGTTTTACCTTGTACTGCAATTTGACAATTGTTACACTTAATGTGTTTATTAATATATCGTGTGACATACCCACAGATGTAATATAACACACATGATTCAGTATCTGATTTATAGTAGTCATGATCACTAAAAATATCAGCCTGAAATACATTGTCTACTTCTAGATCTTGAGCAATTAATGTATCTAACCTTTTCTTCAAATGATCAATTTTTAATTGTGCTTATATATTATAATTTACCTCCGGCATAACTACATCAGATGGTGTTTGTGAATAGTTAGTAATGACATCATCAGGTGCAAAGTGTTCAGAACAAATGTAGTTTAATGGTTGTAATTGATTGTTTACTGTATTATGTACTGCTGATTCCCAAGCTTCTTTGTTACTTTCGTATAGTTTGAATAATGTAACATTTGTCTGATCTTCACGACTTTCACATTCATTAATTGAACATTTACGTACTTTACGTCTTGGTGCCATTTTGCAACTTTTAAAGTATGAATAGAAAAATTAAATTTTGATGTAAAAAGGTATGCAATAATTAAACAAAATCAGTAATCACGGACTAAGATAGTACTGTACTACTATGTACTAATACCAAGTCAAATATTGTGATGAATAATAAACTCGTAAATAAATAATAATTACAATAATATACATTGGAGGGAAAATTCAAAAAGTAGACATTTATGGTTCTCTTTTATAAACATAGATAGAGTGCGAATCGTACTTGCCCCATTTCACCCCGCACAAGCCTACTCCTAACCTTAAGCGGTCCTGTGATTTGGCGTTCGTTTCCAGTCCATACCACGGCTTTAGATAGAATGGTTGCACATCGGGCTATACTACGCAATGTTAGAACGCGGTGTACGAGAGTTCTTATCTAACATACGAAAAAGTGAACTACTACTAACGCTCCCGGTGGTTGTTAATTGGAACCACGGCTTTAGATAGACGGCTCTAATATTTTTATTTTAATCATAACTATGCGGATGAGGCAGCATAGCTACTCTAAAAATATTGAGTGTAAAAAATTAAATCGTTCAAAAAAAAAAATTGTCAAAATTAGTTACTACTTAAATTAACCTTTTTAAAATTAAGTGTTAATACTTATGGATTAAGAAATAAATTAAACAAAAAAATTTATTTAGTCTTGAATTTATATTATATTAATTTAATATGTTTTTCTTTTTGCTTGTTAGAGAATTTGGAATATTATAACTATACCAGTAAAATCCAAAAAAGTATAATATTACAGTATATATATATACCTATATTTAGAATAAAAAATATTAATTTTAACAATAGGCACTACGCACAAATTATGTGGATTTAAAAAAAAATTTGAGACGGGGTTATTGTGTATTGTGAAGTGACCATGCATAACATTGATGGATCTTCATAGCAGTTATTTTGTTGATGTTTTTTG